ACGTGACAAATGAGACTGGGAATGCGGTCGCATACAAAAGATAGACAATGAACAAAATACAGCCTGGTGGACTACTATATCTGGGGAAGGGAGGGGGGGGGCGAGGCACGGGAAGAGGAGATTCGTTGGGCGCGACCCCGAGAGGGCGGATAACACGGTGACAGTGGTGGAAGTGAGCACCCCACGTGCTAGCGCTCGAGTAAAAACCCTGACCGAGAAAGACATTAATCCTTCAGGTTATACAACGGGCACGTTGAAGACGGTGGACGGGTCTCACGTTAGAGAAAACCGCCTAAAAGAAACGAAGAAATGGGGGCCGAGTTAAAAAAAGCCATGACTGGTCTCGACTTCTAGTGGTATAACTACAAATCCCGCAAACATCTAACAGCAGAGACAGAAAAATTGATGCCAGATTATTGAATATGAGTTGGAGGATACGTAGAGATTCCCAGAAGATGCAAACATCTTTGGACGCAAAGGAAATTGCTTACGCGAACGTAGGTTTTGGAACGCAACAGCCAAATGCTACGACGGGGATCGAGTCCACGACATGGATAATGTGGCCTGCGAAAGAAAACATTAAAAAAGCATAAAGCAGGTAGGGCAAAAATAAAGGGGAAACAGCGAAAATATGGACATATACAATTATGTAAATATCTGAGGCCATGAGCGTCAAAATGTCGGGTAACAAAGCCGCTCAAGCCTGCGCTGGCGTAATAATACCCGAGTCCAATTGTAAGTAGTGTCGTATGCTTAAATGAGCCTGGATTTTTCAGTGAGATAGATTAAATGGATGGGGCAAAAGAAGTCCCCCAGTATACAACAAAGCTAGTGCGTCCAAGGAACAACGGCGGAGTGATAGGGGTTACGACTGCGAACTACCAAATTAAGGGCAAAACAGGTCGTCCTGTAAAAAAGTGCAGGGACAGCACAAAATAAGAAGGCACGACCTAATTACAGCTGCCCAGACCTAACTCGAAGTGCGCATTCCACCAAATTCGCGATAGATGTGCTTGTAAACTGCACATGATTAAAAAAAAAGGGAAACGGCTTAAATGACGGTCAAACAGCACACTATAAATCATACAGGAGTGATAAAAACGCGGACTAACCTCGGGAAAGCGGATGATCAAGCTGAGTTGGCATGTGATTTTCCGGGTTCAGGTCGGCCAGCGGGTCTGTTCGGGTCACCTGTCGTCTACCCTTCAAGGGGAAATTAAAAACAAAAAGGACGTGTTAGAAGCAATAAAGGGACGAGGGTCAATGTGGACGAAATAGGTGATTAGTCTCACCCAGCTCTCCAAATCACGTTTTTCGAGTCGTGAACGCAGCTCCTCCTCGACCATACGTTGGTGGGACACCCGCTCGCGTTTAATCTCCTCTACTTCGAGTTTGCTATGACGGAGTTGGTATGCCGCATCGCTTGTGTCCTCTTCGTTTTCCGCGTTATCGGTAGTACTACCGCCACTGTCAACATGGCGCTGCGTGGTTCGACTACGATCTTGATGTTGATGGCGCGGGTGATTAGCTACCTTGTGGCGGAGTTGACGACTGGGTAACACTGTGGAGCGTCGAGTTGACGGCTGACAACTAGACAGTGACTTTTTCCTCTTCACAAGTGTTGTGGGGGGATTAAAGGAAGGACGCGGTCGCAGAAACTTCGAAGGGCCCAGTTCAGTAGCGTAGTTGGCGAGAAGATCGTTCACATGCCAGGAGGGAACTATGAGATCGAGGGAAATAAGTGCGAAGACAAGGCCGTCATAGTTGAAAAGGCAACAGTATGGAAAGAAACTAGGTTGACCAGTTTGGCCGCGCAGTATCTCACAGACGAGCGGCCCAACCGTCTATACGTCACAAACAAGGACCAGAGAGCGCAATGACACCCTGCATGTGTGAGATACTTAAACGGCATTTACCGAGTCCTCTATTCTCACGACAACCCCGTTTTAACGGAAAGACAAATAAGGATAGACGTAGAGGCCGACTGAACGTTAACGCTGACAGTATACACGTCGGTCCTTGCAGCAGCCAAAATTCAAAGGCGCATTAGGTCTCTCATTTAAGAATTTTCAGTTAGAGCCTCAGTTCGTAGGACGACCGAGTCATAATGTAGGTTGGCGTTCTACAGGGTCACGACCTTTTGCACATCGTGGCAAGTTTGGACGCGTCAGCCTTATTGTGAGGGAAGTGGGCGACGGATCTGCCCACCCCTGCCCGCACCGTGCGGGTGGAACTTCGAGTCAATCAGAGTATAAATATGGTCGAACGCTGCGGATGACATGACTCAAAACCTCAGCCTAACACGTGTCTCACGCAATCTCTGGCACCCGTTAAGGTCGAATACAATAGCCGACCGTCGAGCACCAGTCAAGCGCAAACGCCAAGCGAAATCCTCAGCTCTCCAGAACACATCTGACATCAGGTCAAAGGCAACAAAGTGAACCACTGGATTTGCAAAAGAAGCCCGACCTCATACGTACCTGCAACAAATGACATAGTTGTAGGGCTTCTGTCTACATCGATCGGAGTAGGCGACATCACCTCCTTTCTAATATTCGACTAAAGCCGTTTCAGGCTGCTACGTGTACAAACAAGCGATAGCATGTGTCCAAGCAATCTCGGGTCTGGCGCCGACTGCATCCCGTAATGTAAAAGATATAACGACTTGCCAGTGTATGGAATGGTATTGACAATATACTAGGAAGTACCTACTTTCAATGGACTGAGAACTTTGGGTATCATCACACGGGCGTGACTGGAGAGCACTGGAACTCCAGCTGAGGGAGTTACAAGAGTCGAAATCCGGCTGATAATAGTAGGAAGACGTAGTGAGGAACGGTTTGGAGAAAACCGGCTCGGACGGCGGCGGCGGTGGGGAGGTGGAAGCGTCCCGCTGACATGTGGATGACAAAGACTCGCATCGAGGGCGTTTTATTGTTGCCATCTCTGTGGATTGTCCATGCGACCGGCTGTTTGGTGACAGTGATCGACGAAACAGTGGCGACGGGGACCTATTCTCAGTCGCCGATGCAGGTTGTGCGACCAGTAGCGAAGACGGCTGCCGTCCCGACAGTGGCTGAGGCAAAAGAGTGATCTTGCTGGGCGATGCCGTACTCGACAACTGGCCGTATCGCTCAAGCACCGGGGTAATGTCAGCCAGCGAATCATATCCCCGCCTTGTGACGGCATGCCTGATAGCGGATCTATCCGCAGATAGGCCCGGGGACACATCAGTATGCGGCAAGGGAGTGGGTGGCGGACTGAGACGACTTGGAGCCGAAAGACGGATCCGGTTGTTACAAGAAGCATGCCTTTTAAGCGGTTCGGTCGTCGGACTGGGCAACTGCGAGGATGCAGCGAGGTAGCTCGAGGGGCTGCATGCGCGCTTTACCAGTTGTGGTAATTCACGGGCAGCCCTTGCTAGACAGGATAGCGAACCACCTACAAAACAAAACAATGATTTGTCAAAAGCTACCTCGGTTTTTAAAAGAAACACAATTTGACAGGAGACCCGCACAAAACAAAAAGGTATCCAGATTCGGAGAAAGCGATTTGGCTAACAAAATACCTATGAAAAGCTAAATGAACAAAAATAATCCTGATCACAATAACGATACCATTTTCAGATGGGTTGTTGCTATAATCCAGCCCCAGGGAGCGCCAGATAGATCGTTTTGGGAAGATTCCTGCGACCTTCTTTGCCAGCAAATCACTACGTGTCGTCTAAAAGGAATAAAAATATACAAGGTAAATGACAACAAAGAGGTCAGAATCACGGAGTTACTTTTCTGTAAATGGACCAAAGTTCAGGAAACAAACCGACAAAGGTGGATCTAGGCAGTACACTTCAAAAATGTGCCTGAAGCCATTGCCCCATAAAACCCTCACTACTGAGCGAGCAATGAGCAATGCGTGGCAATGAGCAAGCGCGGCCCGCGGCAAATCTTTTCCACCGGAGTAAAAATGCATCTGCAATTGTCTACGCGTTATACTCATCCAACGCAATCTACCAGGCAGTATGCAATACGGCTTACCTTTACAACTGAAATTCCCTGTAGGATTAACAGGGACTGTCTTTCTCGACCTTGCTTAAGTTCCGAGCAAACCAACAAACGATTACTTCCGGGGAAAAGAACAACCCAGTTGCTTGAAGTCGTTATAAGGTAGATCAGATGTCTGATGTACTAGGTTTTCAGTATATGGCCAGGATGACTAGCTGCCCAAAACGATGGTACGGGACGGCGTTACTTCAGCCTAGAAAGGTGTACGTAAAGCTTCTTCTACAAACTGCACACTCTCGCGCAAATGGGCAGGTGACGAAAACTCAATCCAGGAATCTTATGTGATTTCAACAAATGCGCGGAGACCAGACGTCGTGCTCAGCGACTGAACTAGATGTGTAGTGGAAACGACCATCCTGTGAGCCGACTGGGTCGCAGGGCGTTTCGAGCGCTTTTGAAGTGTGCCTAAAGGGATGTTGCAGAAACAACGCGCAGGACTCGTACCTCCTCAGGAAGTTTTGAAGAAGCACGGAGGACAAATCATTCAAATCCTTTGTCACCTATCACTCCAAATACTGCTACCTGTCAGTCACCAGGTGCTGTGAATTAGGCACTCCAGATCCCCGGCCAGCTGGTCTTAGGTCATGTTTCTTTGGGTCCACCTGACTGAACAGGCATTCACTTTCCCGCTTTCAGGCTGTAAATAAGCGACAGACATGGACATTCAGTCGTGGCAGTCTTTGTTTTTGTGCTTCACGTTATGCGCCGTTTCTGGTTGGTCGCATGACTGCTTGGCCCGTAGTCAGAGCACCCAAAACCCCGGGCACCAGATTGATGGCCAAATTGCGGTGCATACCTTTGATTCCATAACGCATAATAACGTTACCAAGGTGTTATCCGAAGCAAATATGGTCAGTGGTGTGATGGAGGAATTTGTTATGACATGTATACTATCAATCAATGGAGTAGATTCGCCATCTGGAACCATTTTATGCACTCAGCGATTGAAACAACCATTTTAAACACCTAGGATAAGCAACACTGACAGAGCAGGCACTACTGACAAAAGTCCGAAATTTACCGGTCGAGAATCGAGGAAGTCACTATCAGGCAGGCGAAATTGCATTCGACGAAGAACTGAGGTCATGTTACGACCATACCATTAATAATAACAGGCATCAAGGATGAAGTCCATCGACAATTAAAGAGCTGACGGCGACTCAAGGGGCGAGCATAGCATCGAAGACGGACGAGGGGCAAATTTAAACAATGTGACCTTGAAGCAGTAGAAAAAACAAAGTTCATGTCGGTAAGGGAAAAGACCTTTAAAGGGCGTGATTTCTCCAAGTCGTACGTTGAACTCGGACGATATCCTAGATGTCTAGACTGCAGATTAATGAATGGCAAACATGACAGCTTACGAATCTGCAAGCTCCAGTCGGTACTCAAAGACTTCGGAAGAGTGGACACCGATCTTCTAGGATATGCGAGGTATTGTATTCAATTTTGACCATATAGCGTTTAATAGTAATATAGAGAAGAGGGGGATCGAGATTGCTTAGATAGCGGAAGATGGTGAACTGGTTAGGAAATTTTGCAGCAGATAGGGCAGAAACGAGCAACAGCGACAAAAAACAAGACCGCAAGTTAAAACGCGAAAATTTCCAAAAACGACCTCAGTATTTTTCTCATAAAAACGGAAGCTCCAAAAGACGCTGTAAGATGTTTCGGACGATCATGACCACAGACATAGAAATGAAAACATAACGAAAATACACAGGAAACCGCAGAAGCGATGGATATACGCAAAAAGCAATATGTAAGTCTGAAGGAGAATGCTGACTTCCACCTTTAGACATTAACGAACAAGCCTGAAGTCAATCTTACTCTATGAATGCTCCTCATACTGTACTACTCCAACTCCCGATGTTCTTTGGTTTGGACAATTGGTCATGTCCGCGAAGAATACAGAATTTCCGCAGCATGTTGCATCACAATGGTCTTCAAATAGGTTCGAATGGAGGCATCTAGCCGGATCAGACGTTAAGAATATCAAATGTGCGAAAAATCGTGCATGGCTCGCTGCTGTTCATCATTTTTACTCGTCAAACCTGCTCCTAGTTACTTCTCATCTGAGTCGTCCAAACTAGGATTCTGTATCGCAATCAGGGTCAACTGAATGTATTTCAAAATTAGTGCATGCTCCCAATACCTTTAGATCACCTTTTGATGCTTAGATGGCTTTTAATTCCCAGTCATCCGAAGACACTGAACTATGTGTCCCATAAATTACTGACGGAATCCCATTGGTGTTGTACTGTAGTGTCGAGAATACCTCTCACCTTTCAAACCTTAGACCACATGTCTTGTGTCTTTACGTATGAAAGTAATCTGCTCGACCAAGCAGTTCCTTCATCAATTATTTTATGCAGTTCCTTCGTGTCGTCAGTTCCCTACTCTTCTGCCATTGGTAAATATGACAGTCCTACAGACGAGCTGCATGGCACAGTCTTACCTAGGACGAGGAAGTGCAAGTAATACAACGTCAAACCCTGCGAAGCGGTGCCCTCTACTAGTGCTCTTTTTAGGCTATATTGTGCCCCATAAATCTTCGCATTCCAAATGGAAAAAGGTCTTTTTGCCCATTCAAACGTGACTGTTAGGAAAAAATTTCGAATTTCCGAAAAAGACGCTGATATATCAGACGTCTTTCGAACTTATTTGTAATGATTAGTAACAGTTATTTTTACTTGTGCCGTGTCTTGACTGAAAGAAAGTCCACAATCTTTGCAATTTTATGCTGATTCGAAATACACAAAAAGTCGTTATAAACTAATGGGTCATCAAGGACTCTCCAGGAAACCTTCCAAATACATACACAAAAATGAAAATAACGTGCGCGACACCCGAGGTCAAGGTCAAGCCGCTGGTTTTAAATTTGAAGATAAGTGGAGGATATTATTTTTAGTGGTTTTTCTGTGAGATCTAACGATTTTGGTACCCGTTTTTTGGTTGAATTTCCTTAAATACAGGCCTTTTCTCTAAGAACTGCCCGCTGCCATCTTATTTCGAGTTTTGCTAGTCTATGCCCGTTGTTCACTAATCGCACTCTGCAATTCTCATTTTGTGCATCCGATTTCTCTCTAACTGTTGTAATTTATTTTTACATCGTTAGCCCCTAGCCGAAATTCAGTCAACTTGTCTGCCAGAAGTTTTCTTAATCACAAATTGCCTCGAGACAAGATGAGACCAAAAGTCACTGGTTGACGTAAGCTCTCTAGGCTCTTGTAAGTAAACATGGCCTAACTAAACGTAAGTCAGAAGCTTTACCTAAATCTAAGTCAGATGATATTACTAGTCA